CCTTATTGTATTTGGGTCAGGATGTCGCAACTTATAACTCAATCAGTAAAAAGGTTTCGAGAAAAACCTCCTTTTTTTTTTTTTTTTTTTGGTAGACAAGAAAAACCTCCTTTTATCTATCTTCTGTTTTGCACATATCCTCTGTATATATTTCTAAAAGCTACACAAAAATCTCTATACATTTACATAGACACCCTTTTATTTTAAGAAAATGTTATACATAAATCCAATCAAGAAAGATAAACCTAAAATTAACTTATAAAGTATTTATGATAATGAATGACATTTCTACTAATTTTGCTAGTGATATTACTGATTTATTTTCTTCTTCAAATAAATCGATTATTTTTATTAAAACTATAACTGCGGCTAAGTTTTTACCTTAATGAATTTTAATTTATGATTAAAAAACTTCCTTTCAAATATGATACTTAATTTTATAATATCATCATCATAGTTTTTGCTTAAAAGGAATAAAACGTTCCAATTTTAATTATAATTTTTTAAGTACCTAAAGTTATTAAATAACACTGATAACTTTATAATATTAAGTTTTTTAGTTAAATGTGACCGCACGTGAAGATCACGTCTGAGATTTAGTTATCGTGACCATCAAAATTAGTATAGGAGATGATGATAGTGATAATAATAATTTATTATAATATAATAATGATTGTGAAATGGCAGTAATAGGAATGAGTAAAGGTAACTAATTTTGGTTTGGTATGTGTGCTCTGTAAAGCACAGACACTGCTGAATGCAACAATGAGCCGTACGGCATGGAAATCCCTGCGATAGGCCTCATGCGCCGGTGTTGCAGGCCGGCGCATTCTCTTTCTGCGACCATATTAATCATCTCATCGTCTTCTCTTTCTTTATTTTCATCTTATAAAATTTCTTATCATGGTCGTATAATACTGGTTGATAATAAAATTGTAATGTTATTAGATTCATGTGAATATTAAAAGAGAACATGACAAATGAATAATTGTTATATTAAAAAAAATATAAATTATATAAGGGATATGATTCGTTTATAATTTTTTTTTTTTTTGCAAATTATACTAACTACGACCGGTCGTACACTGCATGTGATTAAAGTATGACCGGTCGTATTTAGTGTAGATTGTAAGAGCTTCTAAACAAAAAAGTTTGTAAATATAACCTGCCTCATTATATAATATTAAAAAGTGAGAGAATAAATTATTCAATAAATTTAACTTATCTTTTGTTTAATATAATAACTATTTATTTGTCATGTAATATGACAAATGCATCTCTAACATTAAAAACTTATATATATTTCTTTTTAAATACTTCCCTAATTAAAAGTATTTAATATGACTTATTAAATACTTCTCAACCAATTACTACATTTGTTAGTTAAGATGACTTGGATAACACCCAAAAATTGGTTAATCACTCTATTATAGTATTACCCACCAAATAGTCAACACCATTTTAATTTTATACATTTTCCCTAGCCTATTGTAATTCCACGTTGTTAAGGAAAGGAAGACGCAATTAAAAACAAATAGCCCCCCAAAACTCACTTATTAATTATGAGTTTTATAAAAGTTATGTTGTAGGAAAAGTAATTGTGTAATGTTATAAAAATTTGTTTTGCGTGCCGTGATTTTTTTTTTTTTTTGCTTCAAAAAGAGTGGGCCCAGAAAATATTATGTGTATAAAAAACTTTTTTATATCATATTAAATGACGAATGCAAACTCATTAATTATTATTAAGTTTGAAAAGCAAAACCATTGAGTTCCACTATTCATGTTGTTTGGTAACAGTAAAAAGAGAATTTCGTGGGAAAATAAAAATTTTAAAAAGTGAAAAAAAAGGTATTATGACAATGCGGTGGCGCTGTGTTCCCCCGATCAACACATATATGTTTGATGCCGCATGATTATTTTCATGGAAATCCGATCTAGTTTCCTCTTTTTCACCATCCCAGATCTCTCTAGCTCAGAAAACTAAACACCACACTAATTGATTAGTTAATTGCAATAGAGGAAACATAATCCTGAATTAAAGTCACCACAACATATTCACAAGTGAACCCGAGTCATGATTACCAAATTGCTTTAGGGGTTGTTAAGTTGAGAGATAAATTTTAGATTCTCATAAAATTTATATTGGAAATTTTTATTATTCAAAGTATAAGAATTCTAAAAAAATTTCTAACAATTAAAATTGTGAATAAGAATTTCATGAAATAATACTATTAAATATATGATATTCTTATATTCTCACATGGTAGGAAAATTTTACATAATTTATAGAATACAAGTAACTCTACTTTAAATATTTTCTTCACTAAAACACACTCTTGTTAAAGTCCTAGCTTATCCTACTTCACTAAATTGCGAGTTCTTTTTTTCCCTTTCACCACGTATTTTTACTGGGTTCCTCTTTGCTTCACGCCACTTCGCTATATTGATACCAATCAGTGGCGGACTCAGAAAATTATATGAAGGGGGGCGAAAATTTAACAAATCTAACTTATAGAATTTTAAATAAAATATAATTTAACAAGTATACTAAATTGATGGATTTAACATAAATTACTTCATTGCCATGTGCCATGTCAACAATGAAAAGTAGGAGAATCACAATCTTAAACCAAAAAACATGTACAACGGTCTCAAGAGTTGCACTCATTAAATAATTTTAATAACAAATATAATCACATACTAAAATAAATTCAAAAAGAGGGGGCGGCCGCCTATGCACGCCCCCCATGTAGGTCCACCCTTGATACCAATGCTGCTTTTTGACCCTTTTGTGGTATATCAATTTTTTTCTTTCAAAAATTCTTCAAATATTAGTTTTGAAAAATCAGTCTATATTCCCAAAAATCTTTGACATAGAATCACAAAACTTAAACAACATTACTAATAATATTTTGGCCACTAAATAATTTATTAATAACATTCCTAAAAAATTACCTTTCCTAACATATTCTTCGAAATTGCAATTGCCAAGAACAAAAAATTTCTCCTGTACCCATTAAACCCATTTACCAATTAAATTGATTGTTTAAGAGCGTATACAAGAAAAAATGTGTGACGAAAAAATTTCGTCATAAATTTTGTCACAAATGACAATTTTTGACACAAATAATCAAATTTCGTCACAAATAAACTTGCGACACAGAAATTTGTGACAAAATTTATTTGCGACGTAGAAATTTGTGACAAATTTCATAAAATTTTGCCATTAATAAAATTTTTTCTTGTAGTGGTAAGTTTTAATTTGAGTAACTTTTTTTTCTTGAATCATACTTTTAATATTTTTGGTATGAAATAAAACCCATTATTTAAATAATAAAATAAATTATACATATCTTTTTGCTGTACTAAAAACTGTCTATATTGTTATAAAAAAAAAAAAAAAACTGTCTATATTTACTATAACGTAGATCGAATTAGAACTATAGCTCATAATAATAATTCAATAATTTAGTTTTTTTGTAGAAATTAAAAACCAATTTGAGTGAAGAATAATATCTCATAATTATCAATTTATAAATAAGTAATTTACAATTTTTTTTCAAACATTAGGAATCAATTGAATGAAAATTATTGGTATACAATAGTTTATTACTTAAAATAATGTCTCTTTTAAATAAGGATTTTATAAAAAAAAAAATATTTCCATGAATTATTTATGTAAAACTTTCATATTTAATTAATTATTTTAAAAACTAAATTAAATAATATGACTGTTTTTTTTTTTTTTTTGATAACATATGACTGTTTTTCCTTTGTGAGTAATGCTGTATAATTGATGTAAATGGTGATAAGGAATAAGGGATGACAGAGGAATTTTATTTTAATGGAAACGGAAAACATAATTTTTTTTTTTTTGGAAACATGAAAAACATAAATTAATGAACAGAGAAGGGGCAATGTGTCACGAAAAGCACCGGGTTTTCCGGTGCAAAGGACGAGGACTCATATAGCTGTTCTTTTGACACGTTTGATGAATCTGGACCGTTGGACGAGCATGGGAATTTCTAACCATCGGTTGAGATGAGATGAACGACAATATTACATCCTTTCCACTGCACTGTCAAAGAGAGAGAAAGAGAAAGAGAGAGTACTTACTGTATAGCGTAGTGTAGTGGCAAGTTAAACACACAGGCTTCAGACACAAAAGGGGGAACTGCTCAGAACTCTAAAAAAAGAGCTCATAAACTCTGTTGAAAAATCAGAAAGAGAAAGAGAGAGAGAGAGAAGGGTTGGACTTTGAGGACTTATCAAATTGAAGGAGCATCAGAGAGTTGCAGAAAGAAAGAGAGGGCATGGCGGCGTTTGCAGTGCAGGCATAGCTGTAAAAATAAAAGTGTGGTACTGTTGCTGCTGTGCTGTGCTGTGTATTTACTATTAATGCATAAATATGTATGCATACACTTAGTTACAAACGCTGAAGCTGGAGAGTGACCAAAGCATTCAAACCACGATTATCGCCGCCCGACACTGTTTCAAGTCTGTCCCTAACCAACGAACCTTCAATTACCCTTTCCCCAACCACAACGGCTAATCCATAACCATAGAAAAACCACCAACAAAACACGCTTTTTGAGAAAACCCAAAAAAAAAAAAAACAAAAACCGAGAGAGAGATTGTGTGTGTGTTTGTGTTTGTGTGGAGACAAACACGCACACAAAAACCAAAGAGTAGTACTATAATTTTTCAACGAAAATTCTCAACCAGTTCTTCTTGTTGTCGTTGTTGTTGTCGCTGTCTCACTCTCAAATCCCAATTCAAAGCTCAAAACACAGAGAATAGAATTAATTCTCAACCAATAATTTTGCAACTGGATTTGGGTTTTTTGTGTCTTGCTCTCTGTCTTTTTTTGTTGGTTATTTATTTTTCGTACATGCTTGCTGCTTGCCTCTCAATATCCTACAAAACACGCCGATCGAGTTTTCTGATATGGATTTTCGGTCACAATTGAAGCCCGGGTCAGGTTTAGAAGCTTCACAACAATGGCGGGGTTGTTCTCATTAGGTGGCGGTGGTGGCGGTGGAGGAGGGAGAGGGAGCAGCGGCGGCAACCAAGACAGCGAGATTCCTCCTCCGGAGACACTATTCTGGTACAGCAAGACCAACGAGGACGTTACATCGTACAGAGGTTTCGAGCTATGGAACCAACAACAACAACAGCAGCAGCAGCACGCGGAGCAGCTGATACCGCATGCGCGTCCACTCCTCCACCGAGATCTTTACTCTTCCGGCGGGGTGGGGCCCAGCCGGGTCTCCGATGATAACTCGTCGTCGAGATCGGCCTTCATGGCGATGCGTTCGGCCGTGGAAGGCGGAAGCGGCGGAAGCGGAGGAGGGATAAGCTGCCAAGACTGCGGTAACCAAGCGAAGAAAGATTGCCCTCACATGCGATGCAGGACTTGCTGCAAGAGCCGCGGCTACGAGTGCCAAACCCACTTGAAGAGCACGTGGGTTCCAGCCTCAAAACGCCGTGAGCGACAGCATCACCTCGCCACTTTGCAAGAGCAACAACAACACCATAGAGACATTTCTAAAAGACCCAGAGATAGTAACCCATCTTCTTCTTCCGCTCTTGCTTGCACTCGTTTGCCCTCAGGTACTTAAAACTCACTCACATTTGCATACTCTCACTCATTCCTATTTTTATTTTTTTTTATTTTTTTATTTTTTATTTTTTTGTGTGTGTTTGTTTATAGTTGCATACATAGGCATCCATCAGAAGCACTCACAGTTTCTGTGATTGACTCTTTTGAGTGTTGAGAGAGTGGGGAAATAAAGGAAAAGAAAAAGAATCTCTGGCCACAGGGAAAATTCTCTGAAAAGATATCGAGGGACTGATGAGAAAGTTTTGGAAGTATATCTGCAAACAAGGCAACCTTATCGATTGCGTGTGAAGCTAAATCCACCATTTTCATATTACCTTTTTTTTTTTTTTTTCTTTTTTAATTCTTTAACCCTTTTCCTTTTCCAAAAACACTGTTATTTAGTAAGCCCTGACGAATGGATTGACAGGGAAGAAACTGTTTTTCCTCTTTGTGTGTGTCTGAATGCGTGTCCTCTTTCTTAGCACATTCTCTCTCTCTCTCTCTCTCTCTCTCTTACACCTATATCGATCCACACATTCGCATTCACCATTATAATTTTTTTTTTCCTTCAGTAAAGAAAGCATTTTTGGTAATCTTAACTATCAAATGATGACATTGATTTTTCTTTCTCCACATGTTATTGAAAAAAACTCAAAAAAGGGTTAGAGCAAGGGCATTTTCCTGCAGTGGTGAGTTCTCCAGCTGAATTCAGGTGTGTGAGGGTTAGCGCCGTGGACGATGCTGATGACAGTTACGCATATCAAACGGCTGTGAACATCGGAGGGCATGTCTTCAAAGGAATCCTCTATGACTATGGTCCCGAAAGTAGTAATAATAATATTACTAATTACATGGCTGGTGAGTCCTCTTCCGCCGCCGCCGCCGTTGCCGGAGCTCAGCCCTTCAACATAATCACCGCCACCGCAACCGCCTCTGCCGTTGTCTCCTCTTCTGGGGCACTCGTTGATCCTTCTTCTTTGTATCCAGCTCCAATTAACCCCTTCATGGCCGTTAGTGGTACGCAATTCTTCCCTCACACAAGATCTTGAAAAAGAAAAAAAAAAAAGTTATGGGGATTGTGTGTATCCCACATACTTCTCTTTCACCAACTTTGAGTTTCGATCATTTGATGATACACTATTGTGGCGTAGTGGTAAATTTGATACCCATATTGAAGTAGTAGGAGAGAGTGAAAAGAAAAACACAGGAGAGAACCAGAGACGAATTAATATATGGATGTTTTTTTTTTTTTTTTAATGCAAATTATCATCAATGCCTAGTTCAAAAAATAGATCATTCTTCTCCTCCTCCTTGAAAACTAGCTGAAGCTATTTATTTCTTTCTCTGTACGATATAATGGACATCTGGTTCTAATATTGTAGTTTAGTGTAGTTTGTCTTCGATCTTTTGTTTCATTAGATGCATTATTTTTTTCGGGATTTTTCTCTTTCATGTTGAATTATATATCACACTTTATTTAAGGTTGGTTTTGAACTTCGAAGCTGCTTTTTCCCTGTTTACCCGCGTGCTTGCTGGTTTGAAATTGAATTGAAAACACGATTTTGATCTTTTAATTGGACTAACCCTCGAAGAGAACTTCTTTTGTTTCATATTTCGGAATGGGCGATCCGACCATGCACGAGCATTCGAGTTTAAAAGGTGAAAGATCTCTCTCCCTCTTCCCATCCCATGTGATTATAACTGTAATTCCATTATCTAAAATTTGCATTGACGTGACTTGAATTTAAAACGGGAAATATTGCTTATCAATGTGCTCATAGTTAATGCACATGCAGGAAACTATACGTATATAGGGGAACATTGCATTTACATCTAAGGAGTACAGCATATGGCATAATACAAGAGTATATTGCTTTGATCAGAGAAAACTAAAACAAGTAAAACAAATATAAAGGCTACGATTTCTGTACTTTCCTCCTCCTCATGAATGGCCAACCCAGTACTCTCATAGTCATCACTTTCCCATAAAATGATTTGTTTAAGATATCTGTGCTTGGACGTGTTAATTAAACATGATTTCATATATACCCTTTTCTAAACGTCCCTTAGACACAATGACATAATATATAGATAATAACTGGCATCCAAAGTCAAAGCTTTTAAATGTTGTGAAACACAAAAAGTCCTTTATCTATATGAATATTTTATTTTTTTAAAAGAATCTTGCAGATTTTAAGGATTGACTTGCGGGACTAGATAAGAAGAAAAAAAAATGGGATGATAGAAATAAAATAAAAATATACAAAATATATAGAACAATGCATTTTTTTAAAAAAAAAACTTCACCAATGCTCCTGTGGTTTGTTTCAGAATTATCAATGTCCCTGTGATTTTTTTTTTATCACATATGCTCACGTGGTTTTTTATTTTTTACAAAATACAAGGACATATGTGATAAAAAAAATCACAGGAACATAGGTGATTCTGAATCAAACCAATGTACATTGGTGAATCTTTTATTTATTATTATATTATATGTATTTTTATGCACTTGTCACGCCCTCTACTTGTAAAGGGCAAGGCATGGATGAAATTTAGTAGCTCAGCTGGCATAAATAATTGTGTATACTTTTAATTTGCCTCCAGCTGATGAGAAGTTTGTGTTAGGATTTGACTAGTTATGTAGCATATATGACTTGTGTGTCGGGGATTTGACACTTCATGTTGCCTTCTGGGTTAGTCTTCGTAGGTCTCGTGAAGTTTAAAATTTGAAAACTACTTCTATATATAAACGATGGTTTATTGATTTTAATGTTATAGAGGTAAATTTATTTTTTATAATATACATGAAAGTACGTGAAGTTCATATTTTCACTTTTTTTTTTTATTTGGACTCATATGAATCTCATATATTTATATATATATATATATAAGAGATAAATTTATCTATTATAACATGAGAAGCGTTAAATCAATAATGAGTTTTCGTCGTTAAATCTATATTTCATTTGTATAAACTGATGCAAACATGAATAAGTAAAGGTCTCAAAAGAGCGGGTTGTCTTCATTTGAATAAATCCTAACTGATTGGTCAGGGTTCACCAGCATGATGATGTCAGAACTTATAATTGTTATATAGGATATTATAATGTAGAATGATTGCTTCCATGTCCGTATGCAGAATGGTGATCTAACAAGAGAATCTGTGTGTTCTGATGTTATCGTGCATGGACTATGTTATTATGGTTAATGGTTATGGATACTGCTCTCACATACTCAATTAGGAGGATAACGTTTTTCTTTGCTGTCAGAAAAAAATAAAAATAAATCAATCAATAGATAGATACTACTAGAAGACAATTTTTAATGGCTTTTAGGCATTTTATACATTTAATTTAATAATGAATATCTGTATGCTTGCTTGCAAAAATAAATGGTTGAATATTTCTCCTTGTGTTGTGAATTTTCTATTGTCGTCATAAAATTTTCATTTTTCTTACGTGATGCCCATGACTTTGAAGCCACTGCTATATGTAATTATGTGTTACCATATAGTGGACTTATGTTCTTTCATTCATATGTCATACTCATATCCAAATTGTGAGGTTTGAGTCTTGTTCAATCAAAAGAATTTTATAAATCATTTACTGATAAAAATGGATTTTATAAATCATTTACTGATAAAAAAGAATTTTACAAATCATTTACTAAAAAAAGAATTTTATATGTAAGTAGGTAATTGTACATCTGGCTTGCATTTGTAAGTATAAGTATCTTAAATGATTGTCTCCAAGTTCATGTTCCAGTTGTTGCAAATTAATCAATTCTGTAAATATCACTATTTAAGGTGTTTTTATTTAAGTTATGAAAAAAAAAAACTTAACTTTCAAAAAAAAAAAAAAACTTTTATAATATATCTTTTTAAAATATATATATATATAGGGTTATGTTTATCTCATTTTATATAAAATAAATAATTTTTCTACACACACAAAAAGAGATTGGGTTCCACCACTTTTTTTTCTCTTTTATGTTATCTGTGGGTCCCACTTATACTTTTATTTCTACAGCATGAGTAACTTTTTTCCTACAACATAAGAAAAATATATTCCATATATATATATATATATATATATATATATATATATATTTATTTGAAAAAATGCTCTTTTAAACTTGTAAGTGAAATACTAAAACTGTTTTTTTTAATAAAAAACAATTGTACACTATTTGAGCTCGAACTAAACATCTGACAGCCTAAACTAAATAACTAAAACTAGTACATTTCTATTTGTTGAACATTAGGTGCTTTTAGTTCAAGCGTAATTCTATGTCAGTGATATGCTGGCAGATTCATTCATAGACTACTTTTGTGTGTGTTGAGTAGGAAAACCATATTTTCGTTGTTTTCTAATCAGAGGTGCAGCAACTTGGTGTTTACTTATGGAGTTTTTGCTTTCATATTTTTATTTAGGATTTTTTTTTTCTCTTGGTAGAATTAAAGATGAAATTAAAAAGAACAAAATTACAAGTCTTAACGTGGGTGCAAAATGGTACTTTCATGTTGGGTGGTTCCATCTTTCCCAAGAAGAGACACTAGTATATTGGTAGCCAAAATTGGAGCCTCAGGAAATAAGAATTTCTGGGTTTTCTCCTTCCCAATGGTGAAATTATTGAGTCCACTTTACAAATTTACTGGATGATGCTGACGATCTCCATGTTCTCCCCACTTTAAAGATTTCCTCTTTTCTTGGATTCCTTTTCTTGCTTGTGCAGCAAAAAAGTAGAACATTATTCTGGACTTGTGCTAGTTCTACGGTAAAAAAATTTAAACTAACTTGATTAAGTTAATTGTTTCTCCTGAATTTCCTATAGCACTATTTAAATTCTAAATGTTGCTTTGCTTCGCAAATTATTTTCCCTCTTTGATTGTCTTTGATAGAACACTGATCAATTATTCCCAAAGCCTTCTATATATATATATTTAAAACTACTAAAACGGAGATTAATTTAAGGGAGTGCATACACACATTTGATTTCTGTTATGGACCAGTTGAATAGTCTCAACTTCCACTCTCCACTACATGATATGTACTCCACCACTCTCTCTTAACTTCCCCCCAATACATATAACTACCTATTAAACATAGCATAAAACCACTAAGTCAAGGTTAAACTATCCATTATGTGCACAACCTCCCAGGGCATTTCATCTATATATGCCTCCTTATACCTAAGGAAAGGATCCATCTAATAACTTATCTTAGATTCATTGCTCTCAATCATTGATACTCAGCCTACAACATTCATCATTCCATATACCCGTTATTATAGTTAATGTTCACCTCCGAGCAATTTCATAGTTGGATTCCTAGTCTTTGAAACTCTACAAGGAAAAACTGGCGTGTGTCACTATCATTGGTCAAGCAGCCACGTTGCAATGCAAGTTTAGTTGAAATTCTGATTGGTGCAAGACCTCAGTCATTTATATATGTGATGCTTTGCTATTGCTGTCAATTAGGTTTAGGAGAATAGTTAACACATATATAAAGCCATTAGGAATGCACTGTTTGAAACTTCACAGTTCACATGTATACAAAATTAAATAGCAGAATAATTTAAGAAAGAGACTATTTATTAAGGGAGAGAAGGAGGGAGATTTAAGCATAAATAACGGATTTTTTTGAAAAGCTACCCCAGAAATCAAAGGATATCACAAGAACAGTACTAGGGCATGTTGCAGAATGCAGAATATGGGGGGATGGCCTTTTAATACTGGAACAGTAATAGTGGTATTCGGCTAAGCCCCATAATTGTACGTTGGTTTGTGTTGTGATGGTGGTCCCAACAAAGCCGTGTGATGGATAGGCCTTCTACCTTTGTGAAGGGTAGTGCTGTCTATCTGTGAGGGTGCAATCTCAAGTGCGTGATGAAGAAAATAAGGTTGGTGTTTCGAGGTCCTAAGATACTAGAAAGGGAAGACACTCTTACTCGCTTATATTCTCACTTGATTGATTTCTTGGCTTACATAAAAAGCATCCATATAAGATTGTTTCTTGATTTATATAAAAACTTTTAACAACCCTTATTATAATCAACCTAACC